GTGCGGAACCCCGGCTCAGGTCTGAGCGCACCAAGGGGCCCCAGACAGTTCCCGGCGCCACAGGAACATGCAAAAGCAGAAGCGAGAAATGGCAGCCCTGTCCTTTTGAGATCTTGCCAAAGGTTCCGTGGGTCCCTGAAGGAGCGATGCCGCCCTTGTTGATGCAGAGCTCCACGGGAGCAAAAGGCAACCTGCACATCTACTGTGCGTGTGCCAGGCCAGGCCACCTGGTGGGCAGGCACTTGCCAAGCAGCCATGGGCACAGGGACAAACAAGAGGCGCTCACAGGCAGGTGCCCAGGTGTGGGTGTGACTGGGGCTTCCTCAGGTCACCGCAGGCCTCCAGAGTGCAGGGAGCAGCCCCTGGCCTCTCCAGGGGCCAGTAGATCCTCATGGACAATTGGAAGCTGTCTGGATACAGCTGGGGATCAGCCAGGGAGCTGACCAGGAGGAGAAGTTGAGTTCTTGGGATGAAACAGCCACCACTGGGAACCCACTGGGGTTCGTTAAAAACATGTCATGCTAGACACATGGCGCTTTCAAAAAAAAAATCAATAATTTATTTAATAAATATTTAGCGGGAATGCCAATGTGCCAAGAATTAAGCTAAACACGAAGGATAGAATTCTAAGGGAGACAGAGTTCTCCTTCTTCGTGGAAGCTGAAATTCTAGCTGTGGGGCCATGAGGGCTCGGGAGAAGACAGATGATGAACAAGAAATACACACAGTAGTATGTCTTACACCTGGAGCCTGGGCAGTGGTGGGTGCTTCAGCTGGGCTCTCAGGCAGGGTCTCTAGGGGGTGGCATTTGGAGAACGAGATGGCACCATGAGCTGAGGGGCAGGAGGGCATTGCACAGGTGGCGTCTCTGGGTGGTGGCGAGACCTTGGGAGAAAGCGCTTCCGACAGTCTTTACTAAGATGTGCAGGGTGGTGCTTGTCCTGTGGACAAGAAGGCAGTGAGCCCTGTACGCCGCAAGCATCTCATTAGATCCTCGTGAGGACCCAATAATGGGTGCATTTTTTTCTAATTTGCAGGTGAAGACATTGAGGCTCAGAGAGATTACGACTTGCTCAAATGTGAGAGATCTTGGTGCTGGGCCTAGACCCCCCCTTCCTGGGTTTGTCATCCTGATGCCAATGATGACTCAGGTTGCCTTTTGTCAACACGATGCAGAAATGTGGGCTTGATGGTTTGTCACCTGCTGAATGACCATTTCCAAAGGGTGAAGACACTGGGAAGCACTCTGGAGGCTCAGGCTTGCCATTCCATGGGTGTCAGTGATCTGAATGCAAAGGCATGATGGCCCAGCTCTCCTCCAGCATCCCTGACCTGGTACCAGGTCTACTAAGTTCCTGGCAACTCCCCAAACACGTGCTGTTCATCCCACTCTCTTACCTTCATATGCCCATTTGACAGAAAGGCAAACCAGGACACTGGCTGCACGAGGCCACACAGCCTACTCCGGCCTAGCCAGAGAAGGGGTGAGAGGCCTCTCTTTTCTGGAATAGCCCTTGTTCCTCATGGCCTAAGTGATGCTCCACTTCTTCAAGAGTCAGCCAAAATGTCACCTACTCTAGGAAGCCTCACCTGATTTCCTCCAAATGATGTTGTGCATCCGCTGGTTACCAATGCACTATGCACACGGGTGGCCCATAACTGGCTGTTTCCAAAGCTACCATCCTTCTTATTATTTGCTCATAGAGGAACAATTTCAACTAAATGATGGTGTGCTTGAAGCTGCAGTATCCTAATTGATAAAGCAGAACTCCCCACCCCTTTGTGGTATATAATCACATTGGATCTATTTCCTTGTCCAGCTCGCCAAACTGAAATCTCTTGAGAGGTCCGAGTCTTCTCTTCAAAGAGTATCCAGTATTGAGTATAAAAACCTCCCATACAATGGGCACCTTGTTCAGTGAATATATGAAAGGGTGGATGGATGGATGCATAGATAGGGAGCTAGGTGGAAGGATGGAGGAAAAACAAGTGGACCGGTAGAAGATAAGCCAGCAGGGGAACACGAAGTTTGGAGGCAATGTAAATAAACTGCGATCCAATCATTGGGAACCACAAAAGAAGAAGCAGGTAGAGGCAAGAGCTGAAGACAGAGACGGGATTAAAGCCCCAGGCTTGCAGAGGAGGTAGAAGGGGGGCACTGCTCAGCGCTAAGCGGACCACCAACCTCTCCCAGGCTTAACATCAGTCGCACAACTGTTTCGGGATCTGAACAAAGATGAAGTGCAAATGCCTGTCAAACAGTCCCAGCAGTGTAGAGAGAAGAGCTGGGAAGCAGATAGCCTGACGGGGGCTGAGGGTGACTGCTGTGAGGCTGAGTCCAGGTGCCTCCTCATCTCTTCCCACAGTGACCATCCCAAGAAGGGAGGTAATGACATACGCCTGGCTGTTCTGACACCCTATAGGTGGCCCAAGCTGCAGGCCCCAACTATCTCCAGATGTCTTTTTTGTACCTCCTTTCCCAACATCTCTCCCCAGATTCAGCAGGTGTCTTCCCTGTCTGCCACACAGAGGTCAAGGCTTTACCAAGCAGGTATGGTGTGGCCTCAGGCACAGAAGTGGCACTGATACTGGCAGCCTTTTCTTCTCTTTCTTTGTATCAGCTCTTGCCCGTGTGGCTGCCACTTGGACTTCTCAGCTTGGTTCCTTTGTCCCACGTGGCTGCTGCTCATGGCCTCTCTCCTCAGACGGCAGGGCAGGGCGGTGCTTTGTCTCCCAGAGGAGCTAGGCTTAGGCATCCCTAGGCTCTACCTGCTGTGAGCTTTGGGCTGCACCCACCTTTGGGTGTCAGGAGCTCCATCTGTGAAGTGGGCCCATGTAGGCACCCTCAGCTTTACTGTGAGTTGTAAGTGTGGAAATGGGCATGAGAAGGGCAGGACTGGCTTCACCGGGATGAGACCTGTGCAGAGATCCACAGTTGGCTTAATGTTCTTCTGTCTCGTCTCTTGATAGTCTCAAAAATTCTTCAACTAGGTACCCATATTTTCATTTGGCATTGGGCCCATGCATTATGTAGCTAGCCCTGGAAAGGCCTTTAAACATCAAAATGTATGTAAAGGTATACACTGGGTTATTCTTGATAATATTCGCAGCGCAAATGTCCACATTCTGTGAGGAATGCATACCTGGGCTTTTCTGCAAGCTAGCATGGCACAGGCACCAGAGAAGGGGTCTCTCATTCTCTCACCGGGTTCCCCCAAGCGCTCCCTAGCTCCCAACCTTCCTCCCAAGAGATTGCCCTACGTCTGGCACTTACCCTGGCCAGCTGACTGAACGTAAGTGAGTCCTCTCTGCTGTGGACCTACATGAAGGGGAATTCCCATCGGCCCCTAGATTAATCTCCATGCTCACCCTGCTAGCGGTGCACCTGTTGAAAGCCTGCTCCTCTGAGCCTTGCCAATCAGCTCTGCCCCTAGTGGGAGTCGAAGGCATAAAACTCCCTTTCAGGAAGAAGGGTTAGAGCCACACACCACCACCGCCAGCACCTGCTCCCGCAGCCTCTGCTGGTCCTCAGCCTCCTGGAGCATCCTAGCAGCCAGCCCTCGGTGAGGACAGGGCCGACCTGAGCAGCTGGCAGGGCAGGAGTGACTCTGTGGCGTGGGGGCTGCAGAGGAGCTGCAGCGGGGTGTGGAGGCAAAATCCTTATGGTTGGATGAAGCCCTGTAGAAGGAGGATCCTGTGGATAGCAGTGTGCATACCTGTGCGTCTGATTTAGAGCATGCCTGCCTGCATGTGTGTGTGTGAGAGAGAGCGAGAGAGAGCCTGAGTCAACACCCAGAGTGCCTCTACACGCAAGTGTGTCTGCCTATTACAGGACGCTAGTGTGTGGCACTGCTTCCGTGGGTGCCTAATTTAAGGTGTGTGTCTGTCACCCTGAATAGTGTGGAGCAGTGGAGTCGCTGCTGCCGGAGTTCTGAGTCTGCAGGCATGGGAAACGGCGCCCGTGTATTTGTCCACGGAGTAGCGAGTCCATGTGCCACGGCCTCCGTGTGTGTGCGTAAGCGCCCGGACTCTGCATGGGACAGTGATCCAGTGTCTGACTGTGCTGTGCTGCCAGTGGTGTGGCCCCGTGTGTGCCCGTCAGCGTCCAAGGTGGTTTCTGAGTGGGGCAGAGCTGTGGGTGAGGGGGAGAGAGTACGGGTGTCAGCCTGTTTGTGAAGCAGTGGCTCAAAGTGCTTATTCAGTGTGAGAGTCCCTGTGTCTGTGTCTGTGCCCGATGTAGCAGTCAGCTGTGAGTGCCAATGCCTTTGCCTAAGAATATGCATTAGGGTAAGTGAGGCTCCGTGTGTGTGTGTGTGTGTGTGTGTGTTGCATGTCTGATCCGCAGGCGCGTGTGGCAGCGTGTGGCAGCGCGGCGCCGGGCGCGCTTATCTCCAGCTCCAGGACTTGGTGTGGGCCCCAGTCCTCAAGCCACGACCCCTCCCGGGGCTGCGGGCGGGAGGAGGATGGCGCGCACCGGCGCCGCTAGGACCCGGCG